TATCTATGACTTTAGTGGAGACAAAACTGAGGATCCTCAGGTCTCGCTGTTAGTATTTTGTCTTCATATTAATGAGCTGACATCAAATGATTTACATTTCTGCTTTCAGGCAATTGCAACATTGTGTGAACGTTTTGTAATACCATTGGTGAGTAACTGCCTCACACTCTATGTGGTTGAACTTGATTGGTCAGTGCTTCTCATCAGAACTCCGAGAAGGTTTGAGTTAAATCCCTGATGAGGTGGTAATTGAACAGTATTGATGGGTCTCATACCAGAATGAAACAACCATTTTTAATGATCACCTAGTTATGGTCAGTTCGTGGTGTGAACTGTGAAATTACCAATTAGTTAATAGTTTCTTTAGTCACAGATCTGACGTGAGTTGAGTTAGTTTGAGACACATTTTAGGCAAATTCCAAAGAAAAATCGATTCTTTCGAATCATCATAGTGTTTCAGACAAAATTATCGTGTCCTCTACCTTTTCATTAATTATCTATCTATCAGAAGTTTTGGGGTTCTGAGTATGGCAGTATAGTCTTAAAAAAGTCAATACATGGATCAATATTGAAAGAAAGTCCTTAAAGTTATATTTGAAATGTTCTTTAGACAAATGATAACCACATCTAAACGCCTTGATTTTCATGCACGCTTTCAAATTCTAGTATTGACAGGCTGTACACCAGTAAGTACAGAAAACTTTCCATATCTTGTCTGCCAACATCGAGCCTTCCTTTTGTCATTTTGAACACTCAGCTGTCTAAAGATAAATCTATGTAGTCACTATAAATAATTTGTGTTAGATGAAACCTGCTTCACTGAATATCTTTTAATCATTCAAAAGAGGTTATATGGACTTCATAAATAAAGTATGGTAAAATAATTAGTTTCAAGGTTCACAAGAACTAATTATTATGAATTCAAATCCCATAGGAAAAATCGGTCCTTTTCAGATTCTAGATAAGCCTTGATGACGAGTGCCAACTGATATGAAATCTAGCTTGCAGGTTTCCTCCTGACTACTTTGAACCACTTGATCATAAGTGAATGTTTCATAGTATATATATATATATATATAAATATATATATATATATATATATATATATATATATATATATATATAACACCGCCTGGAGTCCCTCCAGGGGCTACCGCCGGTCCGAAGCCCGGATAAAGGAGGAGGGTTGGGCATAGGGTTAGCGACCTCATCACGTAGAAAACTAACTCGTTAAAAAAACGATAACCAGAAAAAATTACTTAAACCTTTTAAACTCTGCCCTGGGAGTCAGAAGGTCTTCATTTAGAAGAACTATGACGCCTCATGATGAAAGCCGAATTCCTTCGGAAGTTACGAGTCCGATGCCCCTTCTGACAACCAGAGCGACCATTTATTTAGGTACATGGAATGTTCCTACAATGTGGGACACCGGGAGAGCCTTCCAAATTGCTGCAGAAATGAGGAGATACAACCTAGAGGTGCTTGGGATCAGTGAAACACATTGGACGCAAGTTGGACAACAACGACTAACTTCAAGAGAGCTTCTGTTATACTCCGGCCATGAAGAAGAAAATGCCCCACATACACAAGGAGTTGCACTGATGCTGTCCAAACAAGAACAAAATTCACTTACAGGATGGGAATCTCATGGACCAAGGATCATCAAAGCCTCATTCAAAACAAAGAAAGAGGGCATTTCAATGAACATCATCCAATGCTATGCGCCTACCAACGATTACAATGAAGACGCTAAAGATCAATTCTACAATAGGCTGCAGTCAATCATCGAGAAGTTCCCAACAAAGGACTTGACCATTCTGATGTGAGATTTCAATGCCAAGGTTGGAACGGACAACACGGGATTTGAAGACATCATGGGACGACAAAGACTGGGAGTAAGAAACAAAAATGGTGAGAGATTCGCAAACCTGTGTGCCTTCAATAAACTGGTCATAGGCGGCACCATATTCCCACATAAACGCATTCACAAAGCCACATGGACTTCACCGGATCACACCACGCAAAACAAAATCGACCATATCTGCATCAACAAAAAGTTCAGGAGGACGATGGAAGACGTGAGAACCAAGAAAGGAGCCGATATAGCATCAGATCATCATTTGCTGGTCGCCAAGATGAAATTAAAACTCAAGAAGCACTGAACAATGGGGTGGACAACATCACAAATGTTCAATACGGCTTTTCTTCAGGATACTGACAAACTCAACAAATTCAAGATGGTCCTCAGCAATAAGTTCCAGGCCTTTCATGATCTACTCAATGGAGAAGGAACTACTGTGGAAAACAACTGGGAGGGGATCAAAGAGGCAATCACTTCAACATGTCATGAGGTCCTGGGCCACAAGAAGCACCATCACAAGGAATGGATCACTGTTGATACACTGGAAAAGATTCAAGAAAGGAGGAACAAGAAAGAAGCAATCAATACCAGTCGAACAAGAGCAGAGAAAGCCAAGGCACAAGCTGAATACACAGAAGTAAACAAACAAGTGAAGAAGAGCATCAGGACCGACAAACGTAAATATGTGGAAGATCTAGCAACGATGGCGGAAAAGGCTGCAAGAGAAAGAAACATGAGACAACTGTTTGACATAACAAAGAAACTCTCTGGAAATCGCCGCAAACGAGAACGACCAGTGAAAAGCAATGGAGGCGAGGTAATCACCAACATTGAACAGCAACAAAACAGGTGGGTAGAACACTTCAAAGAACTTTTGAATCGACCAGCTTCACTGAACCCACCCATTATCGAAGTGGCACCCACGAACCTCCTAATCAATGTTGCACCACCAACAATTTAAGAAATCAGCATGGCCATCAGACAAGTCGAGAGTGGCAAAGCAGCATGACCAGACAACATTCCAGCAGAGGCACTAAAAGCGGACGTAGCGGTAACTGTAAGGATACTCCACATTCTCTTCAATAAGATTTGGGATGAGGAACAAGTACCAAAAGACTGGAAAGAAGGACTTCTGGTCAAAATTCCAAAAAAAGGCGATCTCAGCAAGTGTGATAACTACAGGGGCATCACTCTTCTCTCAATACCGGGAAAAGTTTTCAACAGGGTATTGTTAAACAGGATGAAGGACTGCGTAGACGCCCAACTTCGTGACCAACAGGCAGGATTCCGTAAGGATAGATCGTGTACAGACCAAATCGCAACTCTACGGATCATTGTGGAACAATCAATTAAATGGAATTCATCACTCTACATCAACTTCATTGACTACGAAAAGGCATTTGATAGCATGGACAGGACAACACTATGGAAGCTTCTTCGACACTACGGCGTGCCTCAAAAGATAGTCAATATCATACGGAATTCCTATGATGAATTACATTGCAAAATCGTGCATAGAGGACAGTTGACAAAGCCGTTCGAAGTGAAGACCGGTGTTAGGCAAGGTTGCTTACTCTCACCCTTTCAATTTCTTCTGGTGACCGACTGGATCATGAAGACGTCAACATCTGAAGGGAAGCACGAGATACAATTTACATCTAGGATGCAGTTGGACGATTTAGACTTCGCAGATGATCTGGCCCTTCTATCCCAAATGCAACAACAAATTCAGGAGAAGACGACCAGCGTAGCAGTAGCTTCAGCAGCAGTAGGTCTCAATATACACAAAGGGAAAAGAAAGGTTCTCCGATACAACACAGCATGCACCAACCCAATCACAATTGACGGAGAAGATTTGGAAGATGTAAAAACCTTTACATGTTTGGGTAGCATCATTGATGAACATGGTGGGTCTGATGCAGATGTGAAGGCACGGATCTGCAAAGCAAGAACAGCATATTTACAACTGAGGAACTCAAAGCAACTGTCAACCAACACCAAGGTCAGGATTTTCAATACAAATGTCCAGACAAGTCTACTGTATGGGGCAGAAACCTGGAGAACTACGAAAGCCATCATACAGAAAATGCAGGTGTTTATTAACAGTTGTCTACGCAAAATACTTCAGATCCGTTGGCCGGACACTATTAGCAACAACGTACTGTGGGAGAGAACAAAGCAGATCCCAGCGGAGGAAGAAATCAGGAATAAGCGCTGGAGGTGGATAGGACACACATTGAGGAAAGCACCCAACTGCGTCACAAGACAAGCACTCACATGGAATCCTGAAGGCCAAAGGAGGAGAGGAAGACCAAAGAACACATTACGCCGGGAAATGGAAATAGACATGGGAAAAGTGAACAAGGATTGAATGGAACTAGAAAAGAAGGTCCAGGACAGAGTGGGTTGGAGAATGCTGGTCGGCGGCCTATGCTTCATTAGGAGTAACAGGCGAAAGTAAGTAAGTAAGCGATCAGTCATAATCAACTTACAAGTCAGGAGTAAATGTATATTGGTTTAAGTCGTCGAATAACATTAACACGACATGATGAGTCTAACTGGATGAGGAATAGCAAAGGAATATAGGTAATTTTAGTACTACTACTACTACTACTACTACTACTACTACTACTACTAATAATAATAATAATAATAATAATAATAATAATAATAATAATAATGATAATAATAATAATGATAATAATAATAATAATAATAAAAACTGAACACTGAAATTACGTTAAGAGAAGATGGAATGAAAGAATATTAAAATTCAATATTTAATGGAAGATCAAGAGTTAATCAATCTGTATGATTTGATCAATTCTAAGGGATATCGTATAACAACATCTTGAATTACTGGCTGCAGTTATCGTAAAGGTTCTTCCAGCAAAAAGTTTTCATCTTATAAATAATATCACTTAGAATTAGTTATTCATTAGGAAATTTTCAATAGGTATTGTTATAACTTGTGATCGCCGATTAGAGAACAGTGAATTATCGATCGGATCAATGACGCGTAAACATGTGTGAGCAGCCTAGAGTCCTTATTTGGCCCTGCTTCCTGCCTAGCCAAGACAGTTAAATCCAGAACACAAGTCTCAGCCTGTGAGATATGAATCATTTTATTTCAAATATACTGAGTTTATATAGTAATCAAATAGACCACAACGTACCAATAAAATATGAAACAACATTTGTACAAGAATTAGCTAGATGAAGCTGTGAATGTGGGAGGTAGTAATTAATATACTGGGTATAACTCAAGAATGGTAAAACCTATAATAATAATTTATGGGTCAAAATAAAGCTTATAATAAGAGGAACATGAATATGAATAGTTTAGTTATTTAACAATTATACGATAAAAATATACGTTTACTATTGGTCCATAAATGGATCCCAAAGTTACCATTCATTATGTTTCTCGTGTCCTAACAGGTATATAATACCTAAACTTTAATATTTCACATCAATTCAAAATGATTATAAAAATATTAAACAAAAAAAATTTTAAATCTACACTTAATATGAACTTTTGTCTAAATTTGATTGAATAGTTTCACAATTTTTAAGCGCAGAGTTAATATGAGACATTAAATGAAGAAGAATATATTTGTAAAAGCTTAGCGAATAAATTTGAAGTAAATCCAACATTTCATCTAGCAATCTGGTTCAAGCTTTTTTAAGAATATATTTCCTTGATCACAAATCTGATATAAACTGAGTTCGTTTAAGAAATTATTAGCTTTAAAATATCATTATCTAATAAGGCATACTTTAAGGAGATTACCCCCCCCTCCAAAAAAACCCTGATTATTTCGAATCATCATAATGTTTCAAACAAAATTACCATGTCCTAATGATTTTTCAAGGATATATTTCTAATGAAAAAGCTTTAATCATGTTACCAGGTAAACGTTGGATTGATTTCATATTCTTTCACTGAGATTTTACAAATACATTTTACATTTAATCGTTTGTTGTAAAGTTTTATCATTACAAAACTTCTTAACATACTACTTATAGTTAAGGTAAAAGAAAAATTTAATACTTCTATTAATTCATACATATAACAAGAGCCAAATGATAATAAAAAGAAATACAAGATCTTCACTAATTGTACATATGAATTGATATAATGAATATTATTTTATGTATACAACTGTATATTAACATGTACAAATATATGATTATTATTATCATCAGCTTTATTCAATATTATATTTTTGGTACAATATAGAATTCTCAGCACAAAGTATTTCAACAAGTTTCTGTTTCTTACTTCTTGATCGATCCTGACGATAAACATTGAGTGATCACCAGTTTGATGTTAGCAGTCCAGTAATTGTATATTCTTTTTGATGCATATTGCCAGCGACCACATTATTTCTTATTGGGCTTTTTGTAATTTTGACAATGAAAAGTTGTTCAATTTTCAGAAATACACCAGGATTTGTTATGCGATGAATAGACATAATGATATATTAAAACAAACAAAAATAGATAACTTATTGAAATATCTAGATGTTAGGAACAGGTAACCCAAATACTCAAACACGCCGCCTATAAACAATGTTTATATAGAATTTTACTTAATAATTAAATCAATATATTTTTAATTCGATCTTGTTTTGTATCATTTTGTTGATTAGTATTTAAAATATGATTAATCAATAATAGATTATGTTCATTTTTATAATAATCAATTTTTTCTTCACGCCATTGATAAATTAAATCTAATACAGGACGTGTAAATGTACAATTTACCGTAATATAAATAGCTTGTAAACTATATAATAATGTGAATACATGCCAAATAGAAGTAGATGCTTGTATTAATGCTAAAAATGCAATTAACCATACTAAACTATGTGTCATTGTAAATTTTAATGTAATCCAAAAACGTGCACTTATATTTGTTGTTTTCCATAATGTTTTAATATTATCATGATTATTATTATCATTATTATTATTTTGTTGTTGACTCATAAGTAATTTAATTGTAATTAAAATACAAGAAAATTGTAATAATAATAATATAAATAATATTGGAAAGAAAATATAAAAATGTCCATAATTTGGTGTTAAATTACATGATATCACAGCAAATTCTTCATGTTCTTCACTGATATAATTATTAGTTTCAAATAAAATTATACTAATTACAATACATAATATAGGTAAAATAATAACCATTATATGTCCTATTATATAACATAATTTTTTAATATGATTTAAACATACGTTATTAGAATTACATAATTGATAGTTGCCATGGTAACAATTGACATTTTCTTGTTTATTCCATAATAAATAAACAATCATTAATGATGATTTTAAATTCATAATTATAGTTGTCAATATACAATAATCAGCTAAATATCCAAAAATAATATGAATAAGATTAGTTTTTTTACTTAATGAACATGTAATTAATGTTATTAAATATGAAATTGAATAAAATAAACAATGTATAATTATACATAAACCATAAAGTTTTCTTATACGTTTAAAATATAATATAAATATTAAATGTATTAATGTAGAACAAAATGCTAATGAAAAACAAATTTGTGTAATTGTATGCGTTTCTGAATCAATTCGACTATCATTATTCATAATTATAGTTAATAAATGACTATGATTATATGAATTATTCATTCTATTTTTTTTTAATATTTGTGTATTACATGAATTGATTTACATAAATTATGATGATTTGATAGAAGTTGTATATTCTGACATTTAAAAAAAAGAAGATAACAAAAGATGATGTCCAATTCCCAAAACTTTAAATACAAAATCTATTTTCTGTGTTAAATGGGAAACTCTTTACTACCATCAGTGAATTTTTATAATAATAATAATAATTAATTTTCATTTTTTATTGGTCAGAAATATATTATCGAATTGACCAATCAAATTTGTCCTTTGACTAATCAATATACAAGAATTATCCAATCAAATTATTAAGGGAAGAAAAACAGTGAAATTACTTTCATTTGATTGGTTAATAAATTAATTTGATGATGTCTGAGGTTTATAAAAAATATTATTGGTAATTTAAAAATAAGATTAAAATTGATGATAAATTATGCTTGTTTGTTTATTTTTTTTTGCCTTGAAAATGTTTGTGTTTGTTTATTTAATATTGAATGATGAGCATGAAAGTAAAGTGATAAGTTTTAGATTTGATTCATATGATGACTTATTATCTTGTTAGTTGACAATGAACTTTCTTATCGAATGATCAACGAATGGAATTCATTAGATCAGCATGTGGTTGATAATCCATCCGTCGACTCCTTCAAAAGAAAGTTGGAACAATTAAGAGAGACTATGATTGTTAGAACTAACACACGTCTATCCTTTCCAAACTGAAACTGAATTTTTTATCGCTGACATACATGTTCATGAACGTGATATCAATTAATAAAGGTGTGAAGATGAAGTGAATAAATATTAGATAATACAGATTCATTGACTTGATTTAAGTTTATTCAAGATTATGTAAACTTATAAATTATTCTATAATTGGATATAATATCTTTTGATTTAGATCTAAAGCCTGTTAGCTTTGGTGCTTAGCTTTATCCGGTGTTTAACATTAGTCCCATCAAAATGTATGAACCATGAAGCCAGTTTTTGGGAATATAACTAACTTAATTTGGCTTTTATTTAGATAGATTTATGTGAATAATTCTCATTTAGTAAAGCGGAAATCCTTATCCAAAGATTTAATAAAAAGCAAATATAGCGAATAAGTATTTTCAGTAAAAGGATTCACGGATATTGTAATAATAATAACAATTGAATTCACATGTCAATCTAAGCCAGACCACCATTGAAAACTTGAAAGAACTGAACACAAGACCTTCGAACGCTTAAATTTTATACCACTGGGCCTGTCTCAAACGGTGTTAATGTCTAACTTCAAACAATCCATGAAATTGCGCAACCCTTCATTCATTGTCTGAGGTGGATAACTGTCTCATACGCGACACGAATTGGACCTCACTTTTTTTCTTGTGAAAAGTGAACATTCCGAAAGACATTATTTGTAATACGCTTGTCTCATCTTTTCGGCCAGAGAAAATGCTACTTACTATAATATAACTTTTTCAAACTCTTTATTACTATCATTTTTCATTCTCTCACTAATTACCTCTGCTTCAATAGGCATAATCTTAAATTGATTATTCGCAACACGTTCGATACCTTAAGTTAATAACTTCTATTTTTGATTTCTCACATGCTTCTTATTACTTGATTTTTATTGTTATTATCTTAACACGTTTATCTTTTCAGGTTTTAGCTTAATTCCCATACTTGTCATAGTAATCGAATAAAAAATAATATTAACGGATTATACGTCTTGTCCTTAATTAACTTTTTACAACACTTGTAATCCGTCAGTTTATATTCTATCTACTAAGGTATATGTACATGTATCTATACAAGAATGCGGAAAATTTTAGTCATTAGCATTTACAGGTAAATTTGTTATCCGTTTTCTTAAACTTCACAACATATCAGAAAGAGGATTTTGTGGAGAATGTAGTAATTTAGTAGTTGAATTCATAAGTTGATTAAAGCTAAACAACCATGGGAAACCTGGAAGCACTGGACGACCGTTTCGCTCTAATACTAGACTCCTCAGCAGTGCGCATCCACAATCCCGCTCTTGGGACTCGAACCGAGGACCTTAAGTCTTGCGCACAAAGCCTTTACCTCTAGACCACTCAGCCGGTATTCAGTAGTGTTATTATCTAACTTCAACCAATTGACTCATGAATTCAACTATTAAATTCACAAAATATATCGTATAAAACACTTTATTCGTGATAATATAGTTAGACGGGTTAGAAAACTAGAAAATAGATATGGAAAATATTACAAATGAAAATCTGTTTCTTAATGAAATAAAAAATGTAAAAATCTATTTTGAAAAGCTTAACATTAAGTGTTTATTAAATTATATGATAACTTCGCCTGTTGCTGTTATAGAGTTACTGCCGGTCCCATGAGTCAATTGAAGCTAGACCACCATGGAAAACCTGGAAGCACTGGACGGCCGTTTCGTCTTATTGTGAGACTCCTCAACAGTGCTCATCTACGATCCCGCCTCGCGGGATTAGAACCCAGAACCTGTCAGTCTCGCTCACTAGTGCTTAACCACTAGACCACTGAACCGGTATCCAACGGTGTTAATGTCTAACTTCAACCAATCAATGAAGTTGCGCCACCCTACACCATTGTCTTCAGTGAGTTGATATCTCACAACGGACCTGGTTGAACTCCACTGGTAACGGCTTAACACCGTTGGATACCGGCTCAGTGGTCTAGTTGGTCAAGACTGATAGGTCCTGGGCTCGAATCTTGCGGGGTGCGGGATCGTGGATGCGCACTGCTAAGGAGTTTCATACTCGGACGAAACAACCGTCCGGTGCTCCCAGGTTTTCCATGGTGGTCTAGCTTCAATTGACCCATGATTTCAATCAGTAAAATGTTTTTGTTACAATAATTAAATATCATAAAGGTGTAACAAATTCCCTTCGCTAAACTTTGTATTTTATTCTTTAATGTTTAAATTAAAAATTATCTGTCAATTACTACATAGATTTACATTGTAACTGAAAATGAAATCTAAGAAAAAATGGCGTGTCATGCTATTTTAGATTTCATCAATTTGATGTAATTGTATCCCAGTATTTGTGCTGTAAAATTCCATGTGAATTCACCGAAAACAGAACTCTTCGTTGAACTAATCTTTCTTATTTAATATCTTAATGAGTGTATTCGATTTATCTAGATTTTCATCAGGATCTTTGTTTTTTGTATAAAGATGCTTTCAAACAAAACAAGAACAACAAGATTTGCAAGGTAAAATGAATTCTATTCCATGGTTTATTATCAAATGCACACAATGGAAATTTACAATTAGTAATATAATTATTAACAAATGTTTTAATTTACTTTCATTTGTGAATTTTAAATAAATGTTCGGAACATAAGTAAGATAATATTAATAATAACAAAAGTAATGAGGGGAATAGGATACAAAGGGTATGAATAAACCTAATTAAGATTTACGTGTATTTATATTAGTATCAGAAGAGGTTTTGTGGATATTATAGTAATTTTCATAGTTGAGATCTTGAGTTAATTTAAACTAGACCATCATGGATTGTCTGGAAGCACTGGACGGCCATTTTGTCCTATTGTGGGACTCCTCAGAAGTCGGCATCCCCGATTTCGCCTCGTGAGATTCAAACCCAAGAGTTCTAGTAAGGAGCACCAACCAGCGAAGTTAAACTGGGTCTGTTGTGAGATAGTAACTCATTGAAGACAATGATGGATATGTCACTCAATTTCTTGGCTTATTTGAAGGTGGACATCAACACCGTGGGATGCCAGTTGACTTAGTGGTCTAGAGGTTAAGTGTTCGCGCACGAGGTCGATAAGTCTTTGGTTTAAATCTTGCTATGCGGGATCGTGGATACGCACCGTTGAGAAGTCCCGCAATAGGAAGAGGTTGCCGTCCAGTTCTTCAAGGTTTTCCATGATGTATTTATATGTTAGAAAGTAGGAATGCACAGTAGAACAGATGTTATAGTTACTACAGGGATAATGAAGATAAAAGAAGTTATGTTAGGATAATGACATTTTTAAATGATTGGATAATCCTTCAAAACGATAAGACAGATCAACTTGTGAATATCAATAATGACATAAACTCGTTCTTGAGATGAATTAAAACCAACCGCATAGAACTTTGATCTGCTTATAAATGATTTTGTTATCTACTGAGCTTGTAATTAGATCTAAAGTCAGTGTCAGTGAAATATCTGTGAAATACAGATAACTAGTTGTCACATTCAAAATATTTAAATATAAATAATCATCAGTGATATTAGATGACTGTTGTGCAATGTAATGAATTGATTTGACTTAGAAATGTAAGCCAATGGACGTCAACTCAGTTGTTTAAAGGTCAGGTGCTCGTCGCAGTGCACTGCATTTCATCCTACGTGGGGTCGCGGATGCTCACTACTAATGAGCAGGATGAAGAAACTCTCCTGTACTCACTGATTGTGAATAATCACTTTAATTCAGTTTAAGACGTGAAATTATTGACAAGTCATTAGTTCACAAAAGCACTTAAATATAACATGGTTTAACATAAATTGAAACTTGACTAATTACCATAGTGTCAACAAATCGGGAAGTAGAGAATGTGAACATCTGAAAGCTTCATGCAAAATGTATGTAAGAGAAATCAGTCTCAAATTTCACATAATGATTTAAGTTGATTTCCCATCATTCAACTTTCACTGCATTTCATTGATATTAATTAACTCACTGTGGTTTTTCGTTCAAGCAATATTTACTATGCATAACGAATTCTTTAACAAATGATAAATGAGTGTAATGGGTATATAATTGAAACTACTCAAGCATGAATAAAGCTTCTAGACAAGCTTAGGCTTCTTTCTCTAGTTAGTAAACAGGGCAACGGTCTCGTTTATCAACATGGAAATCGGATGTGTGAATTATTAGGTTAGTGAATAATCGTACCAAATAATTATTTGCTCTTTTCAAAAATTACGTTTTCTTCGTTAACACTGTTCAAAACCATGTAAGCTACGGTGAGTATAATGTAAATAAGGAAAAAACAATCAAGGATGATACACATTTACACTCTTACCAATCTATTTTGTAAATTATGACTAGAATATTAGTGATATACAACTTACTCAAAAGAATACAACCTTAATAAATCTTTAGGCTAATAGCAAGATCATAAATTCATCACCATTTTACTTCATTTCAATGGTTTGTTTTAATAATACTTAACTATTTAACCAAATGTGTGTAAGGTTGATAACAAACTTAAATTAAGTAGTAAGTAACAGTAAACTAAATTATAAACATTAGCACATATCAATTTTTATTTATAGTAACTCTAAATTGAGTATAATGATAACTTGTTCATTTGTTTATTAATTGGACTAATATGAAATTCATTAGATTCACGTGTGCAAAGCGTATGACTCTACTTTTGCCCCTTGTGAGCACTGTTTGAGGAGATTGTTGATTGAATAATTATAAAACTTCATTTCATCATATGTTCCTTAGATCATATCTTAAGAACTTATTGTTGATAACGAGAATGTAAAGTAATATTTGAACCCTTCTAAATCGTTTACAATGAAAACACAAAAACTGTTTTAATACCCAGTCTTGTATAGTGATATCTAAAACATATTAAGGTTTGAAAATTTCACACATTCTAACGAGTAAGCATTCAATGCTTGACTGTAAATTGGTGGTTGATTTATTGTGGAATATAAATTCCAAAAATTCCTAGCGCAAAGATGCATTCAGGCAAATTATTGATATATGTGAAATACTTAAAGTAATCCATTACTCCACTGCATTACGAACTGAACATCAATGATGTATAGTCTAAATAAGTATTCAGTCTTCAGTAAAAATAATAATAGGTCGGTTGACGTTTGTTAATCTTTGCAGTATGTTTTGCACTGAAGATTTATTTTTCCCTCAGTAGTGTTCACTAATGACGGTGATCACACATTTTCAAGTAGGAAGTTCTAATTGTTCACTAATAGCTGAAAAACAAACGGAATCCCATCCCACAGTTCTTCGATTGTGATTCCTGAACCTTACTGATGATTAGTCCTAGAGTGAACAAAACCGTAAGACATGTTAACACCCTGATTTACTTGTGTATTAGCCAATTATTTTAGAACTCTAACTTCAATATGATGAAAAAAATTACTGCTATTTTTCTCTTACCTGACCGTTAACTGGAGAGAGAAAGAGAGTATGTATAGAGACTTCATTGATTGAGGCCCCGAGAGAGTTCGTCTTAACTGAACATTTGTCACTAAACACAAAATCACTATGAAATAATCAAGGAGAAATGAAACAAAAACTAACTAACTGAATAATCATAACAAATGAAAACACACTAAATTCTAATGGGCGAGACTATAATTTATGGACGAACCAATCACAATTATGATAACAGTTCTTGACTTTTAATTAATTAATTTGGCTAAATAGAGTTTTGACATTATAGCTGATGTCAATTCACTTGATATTGTTTGACTTGTATCTTCCTAATGAGGGTTAAGACTGCAATTGATGATTCTGTTATTGACATATGTGCGTACTGTGCGTATGCCTCGATATTGCCTTAATTCACAAGCATTTTTTGTAAGCAATGATGGATATTGGCTAGCAGTGGAATCCAAGACGCGCGTTTCGTCCTATTTGGGTATGTCCAGCTGATGAGTCCCAAATAGGATGAAACGCGCGTCCTAGATTGCACTGCTAGCCAATATCCATCATTGCTTACAAAAAAATAGCTGATGTCAGTTTGTGATGAAAACCCTATATCTAATTCCCAACCCTAACTATCAACTGCAAATATTAATCCTAATTCCTCATACTAGTTTATAATCCTTATTCAGCCATAGCATGTAGATGGACATACTTAAAGTCTTCTTACAGTCACTCAAAGGTGGTCCATAAATTATAGTCTCATCTAATAAATCATATAAATGGATCGCCATAAATATTTTCATGTATTATTTATTTATTCTATCCAACACTCGTAAAGATCATCTATCAGTTACGATTATTTGTTTTTCAAACGACATAAAGTTAACTGTAAGTAAATGATTTTTCAAATAAATTTTAATGGCCCAGGTATCTGACTCTATTTGGATTGTATGAATGATTGTTATAGAATGATTACTGTCGAAATATACATTCTGGCGAATCATAGACTTAAATCGCATTAGTGAATAACAGAATTAAATAAGTCAAATATGAGAATGGATTTTTGAATATATCTATATTTCGTACAATCGTTAATCGGAACAAACAATTGTAGAGGTGGAGCAAAGAGAAGAGAGTAAAGTGAAAGCATGTGAGCCAGTTCGATTTAATCAAGCGTGAAACGATATTTATAGTTAGATAAAAATAAGTTACAGACATGTGATGAGCAAGATACGAAATGTACACACACACACACACACTTACATAAAAACAACCAAGGTTGATAAGCGAACAAGTGACTGAGTAAAAACATGACTTAGGGAGAATGAATAGATTGTTCCATCCAGAGGCTAGAATAACCTATACGAGCTTGATATAATATCAGCCCCTACAAACTTATATAAATATTTTGAGATTGTAAACAACTGATGAAAACAAACATTTTACTCGAATAATTAATCAATATTACTCAGATGTTCATGCTTATTTAGAAAACTAGAAAAAAAATGCGAAGAATCCTACGAAATAGAAACATTAGTTGTCAAGTATTAAGTTCATAAGTACATATAGGGAATTAATAAATATACATTAGATTATATTGAATGTTTTTTCAATGATGGAAAACTTTGTTTTTTTTTTAAGGTCAAACAGTTTTTCTTTCTCCGCAAATTTATCGCTTCAACTCACTTAAACTAAATGGTGATAAGTGGTAATGATAATAATAATAATAATAATACTTAGTTCTATTACACGTAAGTAGGTCACAATCTAGCAAAGTCATTACGAATTAATTAAAAAAAATCGCTTAATCTTTTATTAAGTACATTTTTACTAATTTTTTTGCATATTCTGGATCCTTCCTAAAGTTACTGATGAAAGTAAACTATTATTGATTAAAGATAATGTAGGATTAATTGATATATGCCTGGTACTTAAACATTTTCGATTGACTTGATAATTGTTCTTAAATTCTCTTGGAATCTCTTACAATCGAAACCCAAATGGAAGATAAGGAAGTAAGAAATACAAACAGAGTGTTTAGGTACAGAAAACAAGTGGATTTATAGTTTTATGAATGAAGCTGATATTTTGGAAGCCATAGGAAACATGCTAGAATGGGTAAGAAAATTGTCAACTAAAAAAATGACAAAAACTGTTTATCATTATTCTAGAACAGTCTGTTTAAAACTCTACTGAATGCTGATTAATTTAAGCGTTTTCAGTCCTTTTCTAGTTTTCGAAAACTTTCAGAAGAAATTAAAAGTAGGAATGCAACTAATTCTGTTTTACGTCTTCCGCACAAAAATTCAGATAAACTGTTATTTTAGCAGCTTACCTCATGGGATGATTATAGTTAGATAATAGTCAAAAACCCAGCAAGCACTCGATATTTGTCTCGCTCGAGTATCAGGTTTCTCAGAAGTATACATCCATTGTTTCAACGTCAGCGGTCGAACCCAGAATCTTTACTCTCATACTTTCAAGTTTTAATAGTAGTCTACATAAGACAAGTTTATAATTTATACTATGAGACCTTTCTATCTGTCTAAACGTCACGTTTTTTTATAACTTTTATAGATGAAAATAAACATATCATGAAACTAAAAAATACTAAACTGTTATGTCCGGTAATCGTTAATTGTTATTTCGGAATCGCTTATTACTATTCCTTGCAAAACGAAGAACCACTGTGATTCTCACGACGCGAGGTAAGAACATCAACACTGGTATAAGTAAAGAATCATTAACCACAAAACACGAAGATGACTCTAGTCGAAAATAAACCTATTGATTGATTGTAAATCCATTTTGATAATTAATTAAAATGAAATCACATATATGGAAAATACTCAGATTTATAACAAATCACATGCTGCGTGTCATTCTGAGCCTAATTCATGTTAAATTAATACAAGAATATCGTATTTTGAATAAGCATCGCACTCAAATAAGTTTATGATTACTATCATTTATTTTAAAAAACAACTATTTGTAGAAATGGGCAGCGAATAGATATGCGCCACATAAGTCACTTGATTCGTGTGTGATATCACCAGGGAGCCCGAACTGAAGTAGGTGACTTTTGTAAAGGGCCAGACCTGGAGCCTTCGATCCAAAAGTCTGATCCATAAGCAGTGTAGCAATGTTAGGAGATGCAGTTCCATCGTACCCTGTGGCTATTAATTGGTTCATACGCCCTTTATTCCTTCAGGATCCTGAAGCCCATGTGAACCAATGGTTTGGAATCAAGGTTTTCCAATTCTTCTATGTGGATCCTCCATATTCGCCAACCCGGTTAAAGCACCGGACATTCAATTTTCCTCCTCTCAATTTCGTAAAAAGTAGTAATGCCGTGAGAAGGTAGTGAGTAGGACTTCTCTAGTACTGGTTGTACACGCGAAGCCATGTGGGAGCATTCTGAGAGTGTGAGTTGACTCCCCCACCCTCGGTCGTACCAAGGCATTTGGTAGCATAAAATATCATACTAGGAAACAAAACAAATACTGTACTAGGTAATGATCACATTGAAATAGAAAGCGGAATTAATATTAAATAAAAATAAACAATGAGTAACAAAATGTAATTTCGCCTTTTTAACGGCCATCCCATCATTACAGGTTTCCAATGATGATTTACCATTGATCAGTTTATGATCTCAGTTTAAAAAGTTTTTCTAATCCTATCAGTTTATAATTTAAACTATGATACATTTCTATTTGTTTAAACGTCACGTTTTTTTATAAATTTTATGAATTAAATATAAACATACCATTATTCACTGAATTTAAACAAGTTTGAATTGAAATCATTATAAAAATTGACTGAATTCGGGCTGAAATTCGCTTTAGATTTATTTATTCAAACACATAAACATTGGTACAAGGAGGCACCAAATAGATAAGCGCCACATAAGTCATTCGATTTGTATGAGAGCTGGGATACTGTCCGGGTGCCCAAACCAAAGCATATGATTTTCTAAGGGGGCCAAAACTAGAACCTTCGACTTAAAGGTCTGATCCATAAGGCACTGGAGTAAGGTCAGGAGATGAAGTCCCATGGTAGCCAGTTAACGAAAAGAGGTTAGAGCTTTAGCTTTAGCGCGAAAAATAAAAAAGGGTTTATATAATATGACAGTAAAATGATAAAATAATTTTTGTAATGAATAAATATGTTTAATAGAATACTAGTTGGGATAAAATATCCATCGTTAATTACAATGGAATAATTTAATGAGTAACATACGATGGGACTGGATAGGACATACATTGCGCAAATCATCAAACTACATCGCGACGCATGCCTTAACTTGGGATCCAAAATGGAAGCGGAAAAGAAGAAGGCCAAAGAATACATTTCGTCGGGAAATAGAAGCAGATATGAAAAGGATGAATAACAAGTGGAAGGAGCTGGAAAGGATTACCCAGGACAGGGTTGGATGGAGAATGCTGTTGGCGGCCTATACTCCTTCACGAGGAGTAACAGGTGTAGGTAAGTAAGTAACTTTATGACTAAAATAAAACGTTCTCTTAAGACTCTAAAGATACATACAAATTTATGAAAGTTATATGACATTACTGTATGTATACAATGTTTATTGTTTAGTATATCGTACTTTTCCATACTATTTTTTCCTGAACTTTTGAGTTGTTACTAGAAATATGATTGTAGACAGGTAATTGAAATCTTATATGCAACTAGTCAATGTTATTTATCATCATAGAAAAACTATCCACTTCATTCATAACTTACTGTTCGTACATCTAGCAGGGAAGAGATGCAGATACATATTCATATATAGACACAAAGAAAAGTACAACAGCTCGATAATATTGTACCTAGCATATATAACATACGATGAACGGGTTATAAGGCTGACATAACAAAAAACTTATGCACTTAGAAATATATATATATATTTATACATACATATTGTGAGAAAATACTGTATTTTGAGAATTTCATGCTGTATTGAACATCATGAATACAGTGGTCTTGAGTACTGTTAGAGGTATGAGGGCGGTTATCACTTCCCGGTTGCCCACATCGTGGAAGGGTTCTTCTAGAGGTATATGAAAAAGAAATCGGGTTAGAGTTGGTCTTAGTGACCTGAGAGCATGACCGCAGTGCTCAAGGGATAACTACTGGAAGTCAGTCATATACTGCCTTTTTGTGAATGATATTTGTGTTAGTTTTGTACGTTTTGAGATTTTACCGACGGAGACGAAAATATGTAGGAGTACAATCTTAGGGTCGACTTTTTCTAATCCTATCCCTCCTTGTGGAAAGGCAGCATCACTGTTAAGCTGGTTGTCTGAGAGAACAACCTTAGTGCGGTCAGCAGTATGACTTCACCTTCGGACCTTGGGTTTGCTGCTTTTAGTCTTACGGCTCTTCAACCGATCTGTATGGCATTATAGGACCTTGAGGAACGATTGTTCCAGCCAGTGTATCCCGACTCGTCCATTACGATAGGCAAGCCTAACCACCACATCAAGGTAGCAGCAACGGTCAGGTGTACGTAGCATATTAAACTGACTAAGATAAATGTAACTTTAATTAGTAGCCTTAAAATCTTGATTTCGATCCTTGATAGGGTCGTCGATGCACATGTCTCAAAACAAGAGCTTTCCAGTTGGTATGAGTCAGTATCACAAATTGAACTTCATTTTCTAATTTTTTATTCGTCTCTACTCACATCAATAAAAGTTTTCGATTCTTAGGTTGAAAACATTTTCTTTTCATTGTCATTGCTTCTGGTACTTACTGTACATACCTTTGTTTGCTGAACTAACTACTGAACTTACTAAACCAAAGCGTGTTTTTTTAACACTATCTATGTTAAGGAATGCGACTGATCATTCTCTTTTTAGCATATGTACATTGTGTGAGAATTTACTGGATATTGCCACATGGTCTGAAGTTTTAACCGGCATTGGTCACTGGCTAACAGTCGAATCCAATCCTATTCAGTACTCGTCATCTAGGTGTTTCTGTACTCCAGCGTTGATGTTCACCATACGAATTCAAACCAACTCAAATTGACTTCATCCGCAGTGCACAAGTTAGTGGTTATCGGGACTCAGTGAGTAACACGATGAGTATGCAACGAAAGGTATCGGGTTCGAGCCTGGGTGATAACATCACTAGATACAACTACATTCGGATGATTACTTTTGTATTGGATGAAACGCCCTTCAGCTCTAGCTGATATATAACCTCAGTTAAAACTGTATTTCTTTCAATAGATATTTAAGGATACCGATCCAAACTTAAAGAAAAGTAGTAGACGTTTTTCAGGTGAGTGATTGAGAAGTTTAATGACCCAGTAACAAATTGTTATCGCATTTTTAAGTTGGTTAGAGAATATATGCACATTGAAAATAACAAACAACCAGGTTAAGTTTACTGATTAAACATGAATTGTGAAGATAAGTGAGTGTAGGAGAAGATAAACAAATAGGGGTGAAAATAAGAATCTAATATTTGTCCTAGGTATCCAGTATACAACATTATTTGTTGTATTATAAGGTAGTTAAACGAAACGAATGATAAGTAATGTAATGGCATGCTTCTCGATTGAACAAAACCACAGGTTAGGCGAGAAAATATATTGTATTCGACCAAATGATGTCGCTGTCTTATTTCGAGTGAAATATATTCGATAAGAAACTAAGAAAGCGTTTTACAAGTGACTTCATTTTATTGCTTTAAAGTAAACTGTCCACCCAAATAACTAAGCAAAAGTGATCTTCACTACAACACTGTGTGACGCGACCTCGAAACCCGTGAGCAGTATCAGTTCTTCGAAGATTTCAGATATGCTCCGCTAACTGAAGAATACTAAATAGCATGAAAAGGGCATTTAAAGGCCATTAATTTTCCACTAGTGAATGATGACTTGAGTGGTTCGTTTAAGAAAATATCCTGGTACAGTTTTGCTTTGTTAAGATAGAGGTGATAGATACAAAACATAAACTTCACGGTTAGAAATTTTCCTTGATATTTACTTTACTTACTTACGCCTGTTACTCCTAATGGAGCACAGGCCGCCGACCAGCATTCTCCAACCCACTCTGTCCTGGACCTTCATTTCTAATTCCATTCAATTCTTGTTCATTTTTCTCATGTCTATTTCCATTTCCCGGCGTAATGTGTTCTTTTGTCTTCCACTTTTCCCTTGGCCTTGAGGATTCCATGTGAGGGCTTATCTTGTGACGTAGTTGGTTGCTTTCCCCAATGTTTGTCCTATCCACTTCCAACGCTTCTTCCTCCGTTGGGATCTGCTTTGTTCTCTCCGACAGTACGTTGTTGCTAATAGTGTCCGACCAACGGATCTGAAGTATTTTGCGTAGACAACTGTTAATAAACACCTGCATTTTCTGTATGATGGCTTTCGTAGTTCTCCAGGTTTCCGCCTCATACAGTAGAACTGTCTAAGTATTTGTATTGAAAATTGTGACCTTGGTGTTGGTTGACAGTTGCTTTGAGTTCCAGATGTTCCTCAGTTGTAAATATGCTGCTCTTGCTTTGCAGATCCGTGTCTTCACATCTACATCAGATCCACCATGTTCATCAATGATGCTGCCCAAACATGTAAAGGTTTTTACATCTTCCAAATCTTCTCTGTCAATTGTGATTGGGTTGGTGCATGCTGTGTTGTATCGGAGAACCTTGCTCTTACCTTTGTATATATTGAGACCTACTGCTGCTGAAGCTGCTGCTACACTGTTCGTCTTCTCCTGCATTTGTTGCTGCGTTTGGGATAGAAGGGCCAGATCATCTGCGAAGTCCAGATCGTCCAACTGCATCCTATATGTCCATTGTATCCCGTGCTTCCCTTCAGATGTTGACGTCTTCATGATCCAGTCGATCACCAGGAGAAAGAGAAAGGGTGAGAGTAAGCAACCTTGCCTGACACCGGTCTTCACTTCGAACGGCTTTGTCAACTGTTCTCTATGCACGATTTTGCAGTGTAATCCATCATATGAACTCTGTATGATATTGACTATCTTCTGAGGTACGCCGTAGTGTCGAAGAAGTTTCCAAGTTACCAATATATCCTCTTGACATTATTTTCATCCAATTTATGTAATCATTCTCTTAGAAACCTAATCAATATTCACTGAGTGTTATTTACTTGTATCTTGCCATTGTTAATTAGGACTACAATTGGTCAGTCTCTTGTTGGTATATGTGCATCCTGTGCGGACTGCCTCGATGTTGCCTGAAGTCACAAGCTTTATAAGAAAAGATGGGTAGTGGCTAGCAGTGGAATCCGCGACACGCGTTTCGTCCTCGTCAGCTCGATGTACCTGCATTTCAGACTTGGTGTCCACTCTGGGACTTGAATTCAGTACCGTTCGCTTCAAACGCCATCGCGTTATACACTTAGCTACTTAGTCTTCAGGCAATATTGAGGCAGTCCGCACAGGATGGACATACACCAACAATAGACTGATCAACTGTAGTGTTAAATAACAATGGCGAGATACAAGTAAACAACACCAAGTCAATATAACTTCACCCCGTTGCACAAGCAATCAGCTATCAGGACTCAATACCTAAATGGGTAACGCGATGGTGCTTGAAGCGAACGATACTGAGTCCCAGAGTGAACATCAATTCTGAGATGTAGGTAAATCCAGTTGAGTCCCAAATAAAACTTAACGCGCGTCGTGGATTCCACTGCTAGCCACTATCAATCTTTACTTATAAACCTAATTATTGTTTAGAGAAATTGATTAATCTCAATGAGAGTAAATCGATTAGATGAATCCGAATGAATATTTTATCGTGATTCTGTATCAACTAGCATCTCAACTAGAAAATTATTTATAAAATCCCAGCATTCATGATTTGCTTTTCTCTGTTGTATAAAATAAAAAAGTTAATTCCCAATACGGACTGATGGTAACTAAATATACCTCGTGAAACCAGAAAACTATTTGATCAGTAAGACAAAAACACTTAACATAAAATAACCCAAAAGTTTTAATGCCACTTAAGGAATTTAGAAGTCATACTTATAACAGAATGAATAAATTTTCAATGAACCAACACCAACTTACCCCCTCCCCCCCAAAAAAAACACAATAAATGTATGAAAATACACATAAACCAGAAAAGAAAACACACGTAAACAAATATGGATCCAAGAATAGCTATGAACGTACTGAAAAGAAATAAGCGAATTCCTTATTGAATTCAATAATGTAATTATTGATATTATTGAAATTTATAAGGCAAATAATATAGACATTAATATAAATATACACTGAACGGCAAAAGTATGTTAAGATCCCAAGAAAAAAACGAGCAATTTTAAATCGATGAGAAACACCAAGAATATGTGATTAAAAAGCCTGAAATATCATTTTTATTATTAGAGATTCAATAGAGTAGTTGTATAGAGTGACTGTTGCACGGGGAAGACACAAGATTGGCGTTTTGCATTTATTTTATTTTAATCTTTTTTTCTTCCCGAAAAACACATGTTTACTTCAATCGTTCCATTTGAGCAGACAATTCTTCAGTCCTCTGTCTGCATTCACTGAAATAAGTTCGTTGAGCTGCTACTAATTCTTTTAGTGCAATCATATTAGAGTCCTGTGAAAACAAAAACATATCAATCCGATAAATAAACGTCATTGAATTTACTGACAATGGGTATAGAATGAGATTATTTGTAATCCGAATATATTCACTTGAAAGGCAATGAATGATAGATCTGAATAACATTCACATCTCAACAGGTTGTTAATATTCTTAGGATATAGGCTAATGTTACGTCAATCACACCGGATAGTTAAGATGCTGAAATCTTTACCGGTTTCAGACGGTAACCATAAAATCTTAAGCTGAATAGTAGTCAAATGTAAAATATTTCAGATTTTGGTCATCAGGTTAACATTCTTCATATCTTTTAACTAGTAGAACTATGAATATGAATACACAGGGACATTAAATGAAAGTGGTAAAGTGGTTTTTAGTTTTGTTTTTATTTGGCTTCTAATGATTCATTATTGATTGGATTATGCTAACAATCTTAACATTGATTCCAATTATGAAGTTACTAGTAGAACGATACTAACTACGCAATTAGAAATGTTTATACAAGAATTAATGCACTCTGTAAACTCAACACAAATATACTTTAATCAAACTTGTATTAAGCTCTCAATCACGCATGACTCAACTAACGTGAAGATAAAAGAAAGCACAATGTTTCATCCCCGCTCCAATCAACCATGATATATAGGAGAAATAAGGGAATTTACACATTTTTTGAGAGTGCATTAGTAGGAATTAACCATTCCAAACGTAAGTTTTACTATCCATTATTCAGAAGTGTCTCAAAAAGTCAAAAATGGTGACTATTAAAAAACCCTGTTTACTTGAACTCATTTGGACAGAATTTTTGAGAAATAATTCATTTCCTAATATAAGTCATTTTGTTCATCTAATTTATAATAACACCCCCATAAAAAACGACTTTAAAATTCATACATAAAATTAATTATCAGTATATGGGTTGTGGAGATTATCAAGTTTTTGATTCAAATCATGAATCGATTGATGCTAAACTATCATCGAAAACCTGGAAGTACTGGATGGTCAACTCGTTCTATTGTGGGACTCCTCAGCAGTGCACATAAAAGTAAGACATGAAACTTATATCTTTTGTGAAAATTTGCATATCATATATTATGTGATTACAATCTGAATTGAAATTAAAGTGTTAGGTCCTGAATTACTGAAAGATAAATGTACTGTTCTTATTTATTTTGTTTAAATCAGCTCTGTAATAACAATCTATGGACAACTTTATAAAATTGTTAATTACAGGTAAAAAAAATGTGTACTCCGTTTGTTCTAGGTTTGAAGCTATCACGAGTTCACTCAATCGGCGAACGAGAACAAGACTAGATGACTAAAGACCAGTAAGCTAGCTACTGATGCGTCCCAGCCCCGCTAACTAGAGGGAGAAGTTCAAGCTGGGAATGGGAAGTATATTCTGCAAAACAGCCAGAAACGAGCGATAACAACAAACACAATTCAAAACGTATATATACAGTGCAAAACCGTCCTTGGGGAGAGTTAAAAAAAATAGCATACTAAAAGACGCAACGGACCAATAGCATTTAAGATATTTCCCAGTAGGAAATACGACATGGTGACAAGAGCGCCTTTGGCACGAAAACAAAGAAATTCAAATTTTCTAAATAAAATGACAAAATTATGTCCTTTCCCAAGTGAGTTCTGAGGATCTAACGTCCCCAACAGTTTGTTTGATCTAAAATGTTTCTGGATGCCATACACATGGAAACATACAAGGAATTAATAATTTTTTGGTCAAACTAACTATATTGTAAGAAAAGATTACTTAGAATTTCGTTCAAACGTGAGTAATATGTACGTATGTAATGAATGTAATTCAATGTTGTTACGTATGCCCAACGATTGACTGCCTCGACCTGCGATGTTCAGTGGTATAGGAGTAGGTTGGAAGAAAGCTAGGGATGGCCAGACCAAAACATGGCACAAGTCCATGAAGTCACTGACAAGTGGAGTGAGTCATGTTGGTAGGTGTAGACTACCTGGTTGGGGACAGCGAGATGATAGCAACCGATGGTTGGAGACCCTGAATGACATGGCTGAAAATTGTTTGCAATGGCGCACGTGCATACACTCTTTGTGTTCTCCCAAATTTTGATTTGCTTATTCCTCACTGTTTCTTTTTTTTTCTTCCCAAATTTATTTCACTGGATTATTCTCTTTAAGTAACATCTCCAAACCCTAATCTTCCCTATTACTGCTTATACTCTTATTACCTCTACCACTACGGGATTTGAATTGACCACTGCATCTCTGTGCTAGTTTGGTGTGACAACTCGAACTGATGTATGTACGTAAGAAGTTCTACGTTGTTACTGACTGACTGAATGTTGTATATAATGTGTTAAGGTTCATTTGTAATCCATAAACAGTACAGATGGATAGTGGCTAGAAGTGGAATCTAGGACACATATCTCGTCCTATTTGGGACTCGTCAACTGGATGTACCTGCATCTCAGAGTTGATATTCACTCTGGGACTCGAATCCAGTACCGTTCGCTTCAAACGCTATCGCGTTCTCCACCTAGCTACTGAGTCCTGAGCCAACATGAGACTGATCAATTGTAGTCCTATATAATAATGGGAAGATACGAGTCAAACAACTTCAAGTGAGTGTAAAGTACATATTAAAGTACTAGCCAGCTTAAATACAGTTTTGTTTACATTGTTCATAAAAATGGTTTAATTGTAATAAAAATAAGTGAATATTTTCACTGACTTACATTTACCGACTTGACCTGTTGTAGTTTAGTTCTAGTTTTTTCTAATTGTTTATAAAGAACGGTTTTAGCATCTTCCATTTTTGTCAAAGTCTGTTTAAGAATAAAAGATTGGTGTACATGAATAAGTTTGTGATGATAAAAAACGAAATTCGCGCATAATGGAAGACATGGCGAACAGTTTTGATCATAATCATTGTCCCTCCAATTATATACAAATGTTAAGTGTATGTTTTTAAATTAAATCTGACGGTCACTGGTTATTACTCTGAAGGTTATTTTTATTAATTCTTGTGAACAAGAAAGGTAGTAGAGCTACTGATCAAAACATTGGTGAAATCAGTAATCCTAATCTTACTGGGAATGATCAATCTAATTCTTTCTGAATAGGATAAGACATTACAAATGTAAAGACGTTTTATTCACACTTCATTTTTTTAAAGGACGATAAAAGCTACTTAAATTGATAATTCATATAGTTAAAACAACAGAAGGAGATTTCTGTACCATAGATGCTGACAAACAATGTTTTGTCAACAATTTTATTCTGAAACCATTGACTTGCTGAGTAGATCATAAGTGTTTGAAATTATATATAAATAGGAAAGCTTCCTTACTGTTTGCCTTGGATTGAAATATATTCTAACATTTCTTTGAAGTTCAGTTTTTTGTTATATCTAGTCATAGAAATTCCACTGTTATTGATGACCAGAAGTATACTTCGAACACTTCAATAATAGGTATAAACATCAAGTTCACTAAAATATCATTCATATGTAAATGATTTAAAAATAGAGGATTAGGTATTCTCATCTTAAAAAAAACTTTGGAATGAGAATACTATTTCTTGGTTTGAGTGACAAATGCGATCAGTTTTGTGCAAATATCAAATCAACCAAGCAAGAAATTGAAGACAAAATTATGATGTTTGATTTGTGCTACTCATATTCAATAAGTAGTGTAAGTATCATCGCGTCTCAGTATCCATCACTAAGGCAGTAAAAGTAGGTCAAATCGATCGAAAAAATTCCAGCTATTGTGGTGCGTGCTACTTATGTTGATATAAGTAGTATATGACGCGAGTCAGGAATGTAATGTCTGGCAGCATAAGATGGGGAAGATCAAGAAAGGAAGAGCGGGAATACAAAGCAATTAGTGTGGAAATGCAAGAACAATGAAGTTCGAGACAATTATTGAACATTCTGCAAATTAAATATTATAGTATGGTTTTTCTATTTTACCAAGTAACTCTGTAGTTTTGTGCTAAATATAATTCGGTTGTCCTCACCTATATTTTCCTTCGCTACACTATCACTAAAATTTGGATCGGTAGCCTCAGATATACTCAAAACCCAAAAATCCATGAAGTCATTATCTTAAAGTCTAAGTTTAAACAAACAATGGAAAATACCATCTAGACCATTCATAATATTGGTAGCCAACACAAATCTTTAGAAAGATTTTAAAAGAAAAACAATAGAAAACAGCAACTCTACAAAGTATAACAGAAGTTATTATTTATTTTACTTCTTTTAGGAATGTTCATACATTTTTGTCCAGATAATGAAAGTCTCATGTAAATATACACAGACTTGTTACCAGATAGGGAAATCAAATTTATATTTCATGACAGGAAAAATTATACCTAGTTATCGATTAATTCTTAAAAAAGTGCGATTATATGTGATATTTAACATAATTGGTCGATTTTACTATTTGAACAAACAGAAGTCAGTGATTTAGGTAAAATCACGAAATTGAAATCATATAAAAATCTATCTCTTGGTGGGTGAGTTTTTGTCGAATAGATATAAACGTTTGAATACATTTTAAATTCTTTTTTAGGACATCAACCATATGGAATTTAACCAAATCTCTTGATAAATGAGTTACTTAGACCATGTAGATAGAGTTGTTATAATACTAACTATCAGAATTCATCACGTACAGATTTATGTACTTTGGTTTGAATCACATTGTTTATATGAAAGCTAGTAATACTACGACTGTTGAACTATGGTTTATTCATTAAGGGTTACCAATTCCAACTGTTAAGTACACAGTTCGAACCGGATCACAAATATCTTTTGTTCGGGAAGCAACGTACTACCTCTAGCTCTAATTCCCAAGGTGTAGATCACAGTACACAGATGTGTAGTTAATAAATTAATTACATTAATAAATACTATTGTGCCGCTTAAATCGAACAAAAGAAATATCACCAACGGTACTTCTACACATTCCGAAGTAAAGTGATATTAATTAAGATAAAAACTGATAGATTTCGCCAATGAATTGTCAGAAATCGTAGGAAAAGTAAGTACAAACAAGGTACATATTCTTACACAAGTCTATAATTTATCAGTTTCAGTTACCGCTTTCATTTAACATGACATTCATGTGGTGCATAAAAAGTTTATTTAATCTTCAATTTAATCAGTACTGTTATAAACACACAGACAAACCACACCAATACTGATTATTGAAAATTATTTGGGCACCGCATATTATACAAAATCAACAAGGAATTATCGAGTGCATATTGATATATTTAGTAATGTTTTATATTATTGAAATATTTATATTTTTGTAAAATAAAACAACTGACCGACTAATTCCTTTTATCCTTATAACGAATTATAAAGAAAAACCAAATTATTGTCAATCATATGACTGGTGAAATCTATCCAACATTATATCAAACAAGTGCCTTAAAATCATGTATATATATATATGAGCTATGCATATTTTAGCATGTGATTAATGAATTAATTGGTATGTAGGTGATAGATCAGTTCTACAGGGTGTTAACATATCCCTCTAACTGATAATCAACTAATGTTTTAATTAAAAAACCATAACAATCAAACAAAATTATGTTTTTATATGGAATTTTAAAAGTAATTAAATATCTTTTATAAATTATTTATAGTAAGATAATTCAATCTGTCATTATAAATCAATGACTGCCTATTTTAGAAAGAAAAAAAAAACAAGTGTAGAATAAGGTTTACTTCAGGATCTGGATGTTCATTATGCTTCACTTTACTTCTTAATTTATCATAATCCAAACGATACGACTCCAAATGACTAAGTTCTTTCTATAAAAAGATAAACATATAAAGGGGTTATCTTAACATAAATATTATAGATAAGTGTCTATTAGAGTAAAACTCAAAACTAAAAATGCATGTTATTCAGTAGATAATAATCTATGATACAAACCATCTACAAGATAGTTATTACTTACACAAATTATATAACTAAACAACTAGAATTAATTCGGACATCTCCGTAACTGTCTACAAACATATATTTTATGAGAACTCGAAAATTACCGTCTTTTATAAAGGTTAATTAGACATGATATTGTTAAAAAATGCACATTAAATGGGTCTGATGCCAGTTTCAGTTCAGAATATACTTATACTTGTTAAAGTCGCATCATATCTTTAAACGTACTAATTCTTTCTTCCTGCAATCTTTCTTTTATATATTACCACTATTGACTTAACTACTTCTATGAATCCGGTATTCATCTTGCTATGCTAATGAGGTATGGTAACTTGAACCGATGCATATATGTGCCTGGTCCTACATTGTAGTTGAATGACTGACTGACTGAGATATATATGTGAAAATGTGTCTCTTTCGATACAGTCGATTAAGAATGGTTCTTTTTCACAAGAACACAAAAATCTTCTTGAAATAATTAAAAACTAGATTGATCAAAAGAAAATCTAAATTGAACTAAGCAAGATCTTCAATAACTGTATTTTTATTAGTCTTGAGAATAATTCGATTTGCTGTTGTATTACTGTTTTGGATTACTTTTCTTTCCTAACAATTTTACACCCAGTATTCATAGTGTGATTTGATTTTTGTTCAAAGTTTTAAACTCAAAAATGTTTCAATGTTTCATCTATCTTGCTGTACAGGCTTATTGAGAAGAAGTTGAAACTTATTGTCATTCTGACGAAGGTGTATATATGTAAAATAAACATCAATTAAGGAAACGATCGAGCTATTCATAAACCTTATTACACTAATTTAAACCATGTAACAGTTATAACTACAAGATTAAGAATAATGAAATTTTGATAAAACTAGTTAGCAAACATGATCTTTATTTCATTGTTAGTAAAAGTTAAATTGTCCCGTTACTAATAAAGAGGATCAAATTTTTCCACTAAAGCTCAAACCCAGTTAACTTCTTCAACTACCAATCCGTTAACCACTGACCTACTGAGTCCCGATAGCCACTTGCTTGCATAACGAATATAATTTTCATATTATCATTGTCAAGGATTTAGTAATTTGTAATCAATACTACATTACTTCTATGAAAGAATGGCTTAATCATTAAATTACTCAACTTTTAATCAGTGAACTACATGATCGAACCCCAACTCATCTGCTTCGATTTGAGTAACCGAATAGTAGTATCACAAACACTACAAAAGTTGAGCTCAAAGTTGATTACATAAATTCATACTTGGCACATATTCAGGGAAAGAAGCCTATTTTCTTTTAGTAAATGACCTTACAATATCATCACTATACAGTTTAATGTTTTGTAGATAACAGTGATATTTTACAAGGAAGAAAAAAAGATTTTAATGAAAAGTTGTTCAATCAATCAAAATTTGTTTATTTAAGAGCTGACATCAATATTTTTCACATTAGTGATTAATCATGATTACTTGGTCACATATTCAATCAATATGGATAATTGATTACAAGTTTACATACACAATTTTACTGAAGAGTCATAAGGGTAAACATTTTTGGATAAGCTTTATACTGGATTTAATATAAAGGATACAACATTTTGGTTTTATTGACTTGTACAAATAAATATTAGACTTATGCGAATATTTTTACAGTACTAAAGATCATTCGTTAATATAATGTGATACATGTAATATACAAGAATATAAATCAAATGATCAAAAAAGTGTTAACCATCTATTCAAATGAAAGTATAACATCAGTTAAGTAAAGTATAGTATACAATAAATAACCTTATAAATGATAATTTTATTAGCTTAAATAATATGGCATTGTACAGGCAGATAGCCTAAGGCTCAATATTTTACTTTTAAACCCAAACGTTACATAGAGAGCAACTTCTTATAGAAATATCGTTAGAACATACTACGGTTTAATTTTATTGTAGCGTATATCCTTTCATAAGTTCGTCATGGAAATTACTTTCAATTTTCGTAGCATCTCCAAAATATCAATTTAGCATCAAGATGAGTTCCCTAATGTCCTAGTAGTAAGTTGTGTTTTTTTTTGTAAATTCATCCAACGTGGAATTAGGAACAGTGACTTATTGAAATCTTGAATGAGTACAGAACCCTTAAATTAGTGAAAAACTATTTTCAGTTCATCTCCACATTTATGTGACGATGACAACTGATAGTAAAATAGAATAAATTATACATGATTTAAGATGTGTCAGTAATGCAGATTTTTTTAAAAATAGCGATTGAAACTAGGTGATAAACAGCAGCACCTCTAAAATGCATAGTTATTATTTGGATAACAATTGATGTACTTAACTTTCAAGTACAAGAAGGAGGTTCGCAGCCAAGTTCGGATAGCACTAATGAATCACTACTGCTAATATAAAAAGTACAATTCAAAGTGAAACACATAAAAAAGAATAAGACCAATCTCTCTTTAACAGTTTTAGTCTAAAATCATGGATTATTGTGACCGAAACTTGCTTTCAATGATGAAAGTCAAATGTTAACTATTTGTTCATTTTGATTATGTTGAACAATGTAATCTTCGTCAAAACAATGATAATTTAGTATAGTTTACTTAGTCTCACTTAAGTAACAAATATAATCATATGACTAGTACATTAGATTGAATAAATTAAGAAATTTTGACATCCTTTAAGTTGGTTAGTTTTTAAAAAAAAGAAAAAAACCAACTAATTAATAAGTTACAAAACAGAACATGTTTAAAAAAATATACAGAACACACTTCAATCAATAAATCATATGCTTCAGGAGGCTTAAAACGTATATCATTGTCTAAGGTCAATCAATAATGATAACCATTGTATATAATCAGAAGAAGAAGAAAAAAAGGAGAATCTAATCATAATCATTTTTCAATTACATGAAATCCAATTATTGACAAGCTAAGAAATCGATTAATTGAAAATCAGTGAATGAAGTATATTTCATTGTTAAACATAATAAATATTCTATATTATATGAATAATTAAGAGAGAGAAAAAAAAACATGAACATATGCGTATTGATTAGATATAGTAACTCAAGAAAGGAACTTAACAAAAAGAGGATTAATTGTAAATGTTTTTCAGAACATATATATTAGGTAAATAAACATATACATGAGTTCACTAGTGAATTCTATTTAAAGTCAATCAGTCAGTAAAAACGTAGAACTTTGTACGTACATAAATCAGTTCGAGTTGCCATACCACATTACAACAGAGATGCAGTTGTCGATTCAAATCCCGTAGTGACAGAGGTAATAACAGTACAAGCAGTAATTGGGACGATTAGTGTTTGGAGATGTTACTTAAAGAGTATAATCCAATGAAATAAATTTGGGAATAGAAAAAAAGAAACAGTGAGGAATAAGCAAATCAAAATTTGGTAGAACACAAAGAGTGTATGCACCTGCGCCATTGCAAACGATTTTGAACCATGTCATTCAAGGTCTCTAATCATCGGTTGCTATCATCTCTCTGTCCCCAACCAGTTAGTCTACACCTACTAACATGACTCAGTCCATTTGTCAGTGACTTCATGGACTTGTGCCATGTTTTGGTCTGGCCGCCCCTAGCTTTCTTCCAAACTACTCCTATACCATTGAAACTCGGTATTCAATAAAAAACCCAAATAAATCAACAAAGCAAGTTGAACAATAACTTACTTGTATTTCAGGCCATTGAAGTGCCAAAAAATGATGTAATACACTTAATGTTTTCTTTTCTAGTATCGTATTCCTTTGACTTTCAGCTGCAGCTATTTGACGACTGTACTCGCCACATTGTGACAATGCCGCACCTAAAATGAAAAAAAGAAACACGATCAAGTTAAAACTTAGTAGGTTAGTAGCTATTGTTTTATATTAGATATCATTTAAATTTGTTGAGGTAGGATTCACTGTATTATTGAGTTAATGGTATAATTTGAATACATTCATTAAATGAAAATTGTAAATTATATTTATAAGCGATATATTTATTTCATGGGATACGTATAGTATAATAAGCATTTATTTTCATCGAGCTGTGGCCTAATTATTAAATTACTCAACTTTTAATGCGTAAGTTTTAACCTCTCTTATCTACTTAAGTTTAGACAGATGAACACTAACACCAGTACTCATATAAACTTTATAGAAACTTGTAATTTACGTATGAGCTGTATCATTATATTGTTAAAGTTACTTATCCCAAAAGTGAGTTGACTAAGAATGGTAGATGGTTATTTGCATTATTATTAGGATTAAATTTTGGATGCACACAGAGATATACACTCGCTAGTTTTTGTTCACAAGTAATAAGCTGACTAATGGATGGACTGAAACGATGTATAACCTTAAACACAATAGTTTATTATTTCATGTTGTTACACTTTACGTTAGTACAGTTAATATGAGAAAATCTCGAAAAAAATAGGAAAAACCTATACTGTTATTTAGAAACAATCCAAATGAGATAAATCGAGCAAGCAAAACATGCACAGTCATAATATAGACACAGAACTACATAATCCTGTATAACTGTTTGAATGCTCATTAATCTGTATGTAGTTTAAGTTAACAATCCCCACGTAGTGGAATGTTTCTGAAATTAGAAATAATCACTACAAGGTTTCATCACATTAACATTATAATGATCTAAAGTCTAAGACAAGAATAACGGAACTATCTAAAGACCGTGTAACCGAACCGTGATATTGATTACGTTAGAAACCATAATATACGATGGAAATCTGATTTATGCCAGTCATTTTTTATCATAATTTATATTTACATCGTGGATGTAAAAAAATCTAGTTACAAAATACTACAGATCATTCCAAGTTCTAATAGAATTTAATCGATAATATCTGTACATTTACAATCAAATTTTATGAAGTGCAATGTTAATCAATCGTCAAAGTGGAACTTAGGGTATCTGTGTATACAGTTCAAGTTCACAAAAAGAGGGAGGGGTTGATATCAATTGCAGTGGGAATTTAAACGTGAGGAGCACAGGACACAAAACAGAATGAAGACTGAAAAATAATGGGTTAGGAATTAGATTAATAGTATTGAGGAGCCACAATTAGAAACAGTTAGGAATGTGTACCATAGAAATTCTGAATATGAATGTATATTTTCGGAAAGTTAGCGCAAAGTTTCAAAGTTTGTAATGAATGACCAAAAAAAACAATACATGTCAGTATTGAAAATTGTACTATAAAAAAAACGTACAAACAGATGTATCGGTGGAGAAAAAGTTTACAATGTATGCATCAACGTTAATGCTGATAGCATATTACATAATAGGAATAGAGAAAATAAATCAATTTCAGTCTCATCTGTTTACTTTATTTGATCGTTATTATGAAATTGAATGAATTCATTCATTTTTCAAATAATTAGGAATTTCTAGAAGAACAAGCATATCGTCTAATGATCATGTGATAGATAGGTTTGTAAATAACCCTTAATGGCGTCGGTGTATACACTCTCTGTCTTCCCTTAAACTAAGAGATTAAAGTCGCTTCATATCTTTCTTTCTACGAACTAATTCTTTCTTCCTGTACTATATCCTTATATGCAATCTTTTTTTTATATACTACCACCTCTGAATTAACTACTTTTATGAATCCGGTGTCCATCTTGTTGTGTTAATGAGGTATGGCAACTTGGACCGATGTATATATGTGCCCGGTCCTATGTTGTAGCTGACTGACTGACTGACTGAAATAACCCTTATTTGACTGTTTGCACTTACTTGAAATAAAAATTAACTTGCATTTTGTCTAAATCTAGATGTTTTTGTTCAACTCTTTATATTTCTGCAAATTATTTGGTTCATGTAGTTATTTATTTTAAATTGTAATACATGAAACTTTTCTGGTTTTTTTCACTATTTAAATCAAACCAGTGAATGTACACAGGATGAGAATGATTGAAGTGGTGATTTGGAATAGTTCCTATTATCAAACTGATTTGAAGTATGAATGCCAGTATGCTGCAACAGTCATGACTGACTGCTATACAACTGACACCTCCATAGCATGATGGAGTGATGTTTTCATCATAGAAAATTTTATACATTTTATATAAGCCAGCAAAAACGACAGAGAATGAAACACGCACTCTATCATGGGTAACAATGGTGTAAATAATAATTACCGCTTCATTTTGGTTGATCTCCAGGTGCTAAGACAAAATTGCAAACGAGAGTGCAGTTTATCCCTTTCCCACTTACATATTCTTGTAACGACTGCTATTTTTCAAAAAACAACAAATTTACAGAGAGATTTATGTTTAATTTTCAAAAATCACGTCACATTTTCAAGCCTCTAGTTCTAAGTCTGTGAGCATAACCAGTAATTTACAACATTAAGTATATTCAGAAGAAATCAAGACCTATTTTCGATTGCACATAAGCAATGATAATAGAACTACATGAAATTTTAAAATACATTTTGTATCTCAATATCGATTCACTTAGACTAATCTATGAATTAAAGGTTAATAAATAAAACGAAACTAGTACTAGTAAATAGGCTATAGGGTATATTTTAATTTGATTTAATGTAACTCACTAACTAGTTTTATATATTTGACTTTGAGTCACACTTTTTGTATGAGCTCTAGCAAAACTACATACTTTTCAAAACTTAACTAGAAAGAGTAAAGTTTAAAACGTCAACCAAATGATAGAAAACTAATTCAGCACTAATTGATTTTGGGCATCTAACAGGAGAATAAAAATGAATCGAAAAAAAAGGTGGACTATATTAACGCTTAATTCAAGTTTTTTTAATGGTTCCTAATTTGATCTATGCCATATATGAATTCATAAACAAGATGTTTAACATATTTAACTTTGAATAGATGTTAAATTAAATTTGAAAAAAAATAGAAATGAATGAAATATACAACCAACTTTATAAAAAATGAATAGAGCCAGATGGTGGTAGATAACGAAAGAGATGAGCAACAATGTTACAATATGCCAAGAAATAGGCAAAGGTAAGGAGAAAAGAAAAGAAAATGATAAATTTCAGGTCAAAGAATCGATTTATGCGTTGTTTTTTTCTCTTTAAAAAATATCATTCATTGAACTTGAAGAATTCTCACTTCATTAACACAAAAATATTAATGAAATGAATGAAGAATAGTTTTTTCAATTAATGCCTATTAAAATAAAGCAAGAACAAATATTGATGCAGAATAGTATGAATTCATATTATTTCGAGGTTTCTCGTCAGTTGCTTACAACCACTGATATGTAATAGAATTTTACATTGAGATAAGAAATAGTATGGGACAACTGACATGAATGAATGTAAATAACTGGTATGACAATAGTTTACAATGATAATTATATATATATATATATATATATATATATATATATATATATATATATGCAAGAACAGGTCATAAGTTATTAAGTGTTATAATCAAGGAAACATTAAAGATGGATGGTGTAATATCTGAGTAGAGTTCAGAGACAGATAAGACACACCATCCCTCTCAAGTGTTTCCTTGATTATAACACCTCATAACCTAGGACCTGTTTTTGCACATATATAGTTATCATTGTAAACTATTGTCATTCCAGTTATTTACATTCATTTATGTCAATTGTCCCATACTATTTCTTATCTCAATGTAAAATTCTATTACATATTTGGTTGTAAGCAGCTGATGAGAAACCTCGAAATAATATGAATTCATACTATTCTGCATCAATATTTGTTCTTGCTTTATTTAAATTCATAAAGGGAACTAATTGCATGAAATTTTTGTAATGCTTATTAGCTTCTACTGTTAGGAATCCAAATGAATACTTCAATGAGATAGACAATTTTATAGGTGAATAGATCCTTTAAGTATTTACAATGTATAAATTTAACATGGACAAAAAAATTAAATTAAAATTTATGTTCTTGGAATGGTTAGTGTTTAATATAGAATGTAAAATGAATTTATTGAAAAGAATATACTTTGTTCAGGTTATTTATTGTTATACAGTTTGACGCATTGATCTTAACTTGTAAGGTGTGATACAAGAAATACATAAATGGTAATGTAGATCACCAACGTAAATGATCTATGTCGAAATGATTGGAGGCCTACTCGAGTTAGACGTGAATAATGTGACAAACTAGCTAACGTCGAAGTCACACCTCGTGGTCAGCACCTCACGTGGACTACCCCATTGACGTATCAAGGTACCATAGATGCTTTGAAGACTGTACAACACAGAGGACGTTATTATAGAAATATATTAGTTTAAGGAAATACAAGCGAAAGTAAGACCACTACCACATAAGCCAGTCCATGACACATGATTAACTGATGCGCATTGGTTGTCCCTGACCATGACGAGGATTGATGGTTTGCTCGATATTCAATGACCCAACTGCCGGATGATTTGGTTAGGGTTTAGTGACATTTCGCTGGCCCTACAGTAACTTATCAGATTAGAAAATGTGTTTACTGAAACGTGGATTTTAGTAATTAACAATAGGACTTATTCATATATTACAGTGACTGTTAATCAGTTTTAGCTATCATAATTTGTTGAAATTTCAAAATTGATCCATTCTTATTCAAATGTATGAATAGTTATTATGTCAATAATTTAAACAATAAATAGAGCTCCATTCTTAATTCTATATAAATATGTTCTGAATAAAGTTTAAAAAGAATAAAGTGAGAACAAGTGAACATTGGTACTAAACACTTAATGATTTCTAAGCAAAGATGGATAGTGGCTAGCGGTGGAATTAATTAGCATAATAATATAAGTGCTATAAATAATTTCTATTCATCTTTGCTTATAATGCTTGTGAATTAAAGTAATATCGAGGCAATATGCACAGTATGCACATATATCAATAAGCGACTGATAAATTTCAGTCCTGAATATTAATGGGAATATTCAAGTAAACCATTCCATGTGAACTTTATGATTTCTGATGAAAACTGACTTTTCCAATGATTAATTATCTCTAATTTTATACAAATTACTATAATATTTTTCGGAGATTGTACTGAAAATGAACAACTCAAATCTAGAATAAATGTAAAATAATACTATCAAAAACCCTCATATTATTTATTCAAACGGTCCGGCTGTACATAAAGTACAAAACAATTCATTATGGTTCATAGTGTACCCATTAGTTTACGCGCTCGAATGAAAGGAGGACATCTATCAGATGTAATAAATTTTGTGTATATGAAATTAGTTCTCAGTACTGATCAGAATAAGTAGATTAAATTGAGAACAATACGGCTATAAGCATTTATTGAAACATATTTTTTCTAATCGTTTAGTATCCTACTTTGTAAAAGTTGGTATACTGACCAGAACTTTTAAAATCCAACTTAGCACAAAAGAACAATGATGTACATCGTTGTTCATTTTTAAAACGAATTTTGATGGTTAAATATTATCCAGTTTATAATGTTTTGTGATATGAAGGGCAATAAGTAAGTCTGAGACTAAAGTCATTATCAAATTGCCCAGTAAGTGCTTTTTTTTCTAAATTTGTATCTTCTCATTGCCATTTTTAAATGAATCCCAACCATGTTTCATCTGTGTTCAATATTTTATTCCAAAAAATGTTAACCAAATAGATAATTTATCGACCGGCCAATTGTAATATCTTTTGATGACAATTTATTTGAGTGCTTAAATCAAAAAATGGTACTGATGGTATGTTTCAATCGACTATATGATAAAACTAAGCGTCATCTATTTGTCAGTATTTTTTATTATTGAAAAACATAGAATTTAATGCTCATAATTAAACATCAAAACTCTATCTTTACCAGAGTTTTCAGATTAGCTAATGATGAAACCTATTGATTCAGAGCCGTCCATAGTTCATTCACTGACCAACTCACCAATCAATCACCAATGATTGAACTGTGCATTGAACAACACTCACTATGGAAAAACTTAGTGGTAGCACTACGCTACTAGAATAAATATTGTAAAGAGCAGACTTTGACCTGGCAAAATGCCGGTTGAATAAAACCGTTCAAACCATGGATTTTTCAAGTCATAAGCAATCAATACTATAGCTCCATTGAAAACGATACACAATGTGGATTGCAGATCACATAAAGGCAAAAAGTACTTTCGTGAAAAAACGCCTACTATGTATGGATTAGATAATTAGGATCATTAACTGTTTGAAATAAAGATTGAAAAACGTTTAGTAATTATTAATGTATTGAGGGTATAATTGTTTATGAATACTGTTATTATTATTCCCGAAATCTAATTTACTTCCGGAAAATTTACTGATTTGTCTTAATAAAAATCTATTTATCGTGAAATCTTAACGAATTTCACTGAACATTGAAATCCGTACTCCTGATTAATTCTAAACTTGTATTTCTGTTTGATTCTATATTATAATACGGTTCGTAAAAATGTAGCTCATAAGGGAATTTATGGTCACTTAAATGTCACTCAATTGCATACACATTGGCAAAACTTATTCGTTCAGAATATTGGAAATTTGCAACCACTAGTCCTTGATATTAATCTATCAGCTAACCTATATTACTTTGAGTGTTTGTTTTCGGTTGAAATACTTGCATAATTTGCTTCCCAATATTGAACCAGTATTAGGTTTTGTATTAAAAAAGCTCATAAAAATGGCCTGGTGACTTTAATTTAACAAATAACGTAAGGTGGCCTTATTCATACTGATTCTCAACTGATTTTACAAAAATTGTTATTTATTTTTTGATTGAAAAGTTTAATGAATACATGGCCAGTTCCACAATACTTATTAAGCTACATAATTTTTTATCTTCATTTGAAAAATCAGGTACATTCTGAAAATCTTAACTAAATCATCAAGTACAATCAACGAACACATCTTAAATCATATTATGACGTAGAACAAAAACTTGCTATAATGTCAACTTTACCTAAATACAGTGTCTGAAAATTTAGATCTGTGATAAAAATCATCAGCAAATTACTTATCTTTCACACTAGTTAACATGGTTATAAAATGGCAAGACTTATTACCACTTACCTTTCGTGACACATTTAATAACATGTTTTCTCAAAATTATATGGATTCAACTACTTCTAATTTCCTTTATCTTTTATTGGTGAAGAGTAAAATATACCTTCAATTGCATGAGAAAGTGATTCTACAGTAGCGTTTTTCTAGGTGCATGGAAAAAAGTGGGGCAGACGTATAAAGTAGAAAGTGATAAACTCTTTTTGAGCTGTGTTAATGATTAAATATTACACACATATGCATCTCGTAAACCATGATAAGGATTTAAATCAACAGTACTTGTTTTATATGAGATGCCAACTGACAGCACTAATAATATAATGATATATATTTGGCCGTCACGATACAAGACACTGTACACATTTCAGTGGGTTATATTTACTTTTTATTCATTTATTGAACCTCTGCTCCGGTAAATTGGTGGGCCGAAAAGAAGTAGACGATACTTTCGTCACCATAAATTTGAAATGTGTGTGCATTTTTAAGAGGCCTATTTGTTATTCATTTCAGGAAAGAAGAAAGATATTGTGACTATTACTGTACAGAATTAGTGTTTAATTAAACGTTGTAAGTAACGTGAGGAGTTGGTTTCGTGGCTATATTTTGCGAACTTACCATATGCAGTACCAGCTCCGACACCAACAGCTGCGTTGAGTAGTGTATCTCCAAGATGTTCGGCGGGTAACTTTGCAGGAACCTTTAGCCAATAACTTTTGTTATCTGTGACCATACTTTCTACTTTGCAAGCTAAATGAAATAGCGAAATGTACAAACTCAATGATTTGATTTAAATTTTGACGAAATATGATAAATATTGCAGTGTTTAGGCATGTGGATTCACATACTATACGATTCCTACGTTAGTATAAAAGTCATTAATACTACTAATTAGAGGCTTTAACCTTCATTGATAGATTGGTTCGAACCTCGTAGCAGAAATCGAATATTAGTACATACGCTATCAGCTAACATAGTGCTTTATTACTTGTCAGTAGTGGAACACCAGCAATTTCACTGTTGAGTATTTTCAGTGGGATATGTAATATTATAGATAGATGTCGTATTTAGTTTTTTGAAGACCGTAATTTTGTCTAACTTTAAAGGTTACGTCTCTGTAGGTTTTAATTATAACATGAGGTCAAATAATGGATGTCTACATTTAACTGTATATTTTCATTCAGAGAGAAACCATCAACTCAACCATCAGGCTCATATTTGTTAAGATGTTCTTCATGCATCTTGAGGCCAAACGATGAACTACCACAAACCATGTTTGTATTCATGAATTTCATTTTAACATACTGTTTAGATATATGTATTTTCCAACAATTTTGACAAAATACAAAATTAGGAAGATATTTGTATTTTTTGAAGACTGTTGAGAGGATTCCGAGCCAGACTTGATCATAATGAACTTGGAAAACTCAAAAAAGCATCATTCAATGTTATTTTTATGGAATGAAAGTGACAGAAAAATTTCATTTCCGGATTTATCTTTCCGTGTGGTCTTTAGTAGGTATTCACAGATTCAACAATTTACATTGATTTTAAGCTACGTCGTAAAGTGAGTATCATTTCGCTACACAAATATCTATGTAAACACATCAAAACATGGCAGTCAGTAAACGGTTGCGATGGTAACATCTTTTTCAGTAGTGAATGAACCAAGACTAAGGATTCCCACCTACATCAAACGAACTCTACTCTAAACGTGACGGGTTGGTCGTGCTGGGGAATTATGTATAGTAAAATAACTTTCAAAAATGGCACCTGCAGTCGGATCGACAACCAAAGAAAGAAATAATATAACATCAGATTTATAACTTAAACTTTGATACCCAGCAAATAAATGAGATCTGTATGCATACTACTCATCAAGGAATCAAAATCTTAACATTCTAGCGAAGTCAAAATTTTCTTTAAGTGCTTGTGCGCTGAAATCACGTTTTCTCAAAATAACATGTCACTTAAGTGACATGTTGAGCTCTCAGAGATCAAGGCGGACGATAAACATGTGAGTAGGATATGAAACAAAACACCATACAAAAAAGACGAACAGCATACACTTATCTCAAGTTAACTGAAAAGTTATTTCTCAAGGATAAAATGAGTTTTTAAAGTGAACTGACCAACATCATCGAACTTTTTTACTATGAATAAAGAGTCGTTAGGTTGCAGATAAAATGCAATTTACAGACACAAGGGTTGATCCACTGCTCGATGGCCTCCATAATGTGCTTAGATGCTTCATGTGTGGATTCTGCTTGCTTTAATAGTGAGACGAAATCCTCGTCGAATTCTGTCTTTTCAGCTCTTCCTATGACTTCATTTGTTTTCTTGAAAAGAGTTAGCTAATTTACAAATTTAAGACAAACCTGCAAAGCCCTATTGAGCTTTGTATTGGTAGTATCCAAAAATTTCTTCATTCCTACAAGAACACGTTACAATTTTGAGAGATAGACTTAAATCTATCAATGTTTATTGGGCAATATAAACAAACACAACTTTGACTAATGATAACAGTTTAAAGCATGAAAATTTGTTTTTTTCATTTTTAGATGATTTAGTAACCAATATTACCTTGTCTTGAGTTATTCTACTGAAAATACTTCATTGTAAAAGATTTTTAGTTCAGAAAAGACAGTGATCTGCAAGTTCTGTGTAAGTCCTAGCAATGGAGATCACTCAATCAATTCAGCGTCTATGAAACGAGCATTAGTTTATGTTAGCTGATGGTCTGATCGGGAAGTTGTTTATCAGCTGACAATTTATTTGTTCTGAGCTTATGATACGTTTAAAAATCCTCTAATAAATCCTAAGGTCCTCGAAAACAAGAAAATCAAGGCTCAATAGTTTCCATTGTTCGGTTGGAAGGCTATTTTTCATACATAAGTAGAATAGACTCAGATTATGTACTCACTTCTCACATAAAATTATTATTCTGATTCAGTTTATTTATTGGCCACATGGCTGAAGGCTCCCGTTCATGCATCCTCATCAGATCATGAATGTGTGCGTCCTACTTCACATCTCCTATAACTGCTACACCGCTTAGATTGATCACTTCTCGATACTAAATCAAATTTATCTTCGAACCTCTTCGCTTCTAACTTCTGAGTCGATTAGGTTGGCATAATGCGCAGTCAAACCCCGAATGTTTGTGATATCTTAAAACCATGCTCCGCAAATATCCGCAAAATAAATCGTTCCGTAAGATTGCGATTCATTCGTTCAACTGGATACACTCTAGCTCATCTATATTTCTACGTTCGCTAGTTTTAAGGCTCAAGACTATCAAGATATTGCGTACATCTGCGTTCTTAAACATCCATCTGTGACATCCTTAAATTTTTTACTGCTCAAGGTCTTCTGTAGATAACGACTTCTTTGCTGTGCGCACACAAACACAAGAGTCACGACAGAAAAATACCATGTCCAGAATCGTAGAATTAACAGTCATATACGTAGATAGGTCAAGGTATGTGCAAAATGGTTGTGATAAATTTAGCATATATTATATGACTGATGATAACTCTTGTATCAATGTACGTTAGACAACTCATGACTAAGAGTTATTCACAGCGAATTTGACCACATCTTCATGCCAAGTGATTGTAGCGGTAAATAAATCACAGGAATAAATAGCTCTGTAAGTATTTACATTGGACATTGACCACATTAGTTTTAATGGACTCACCTAGCTGAAGGTGCGCAGTCATACATTCGCAGCAGATCACGAGAGGGAACGCTGTGCTCAACATCCCCTGCAATTGTTAGCCAGATTAGTTCTTTCGATTCACGATATATTGATAGCCTTTCAAATAAATCTTCGAACGTCCCGGCTCCTGTTTTTTTTAAATTTCACTTGGTAGGTACGATTTTATAGTAGGAGGCGTTACTGCTTAAAGTGTTGTCGAAACTCCAAATACCTGTGTTACCTTTATGTTCATCAAAATGTGATCGAAAGCATTGTAACCAATGAGGAACAGCTAAATCATCCTGACTCTTCCGATACACTACACTATCCCCCAAATATTATAATAACTATGGCCTATAATAAAATTAGTAATGACGACAGGCCAGGAAGACTGCTCGCTTATACAACGGATTGAGCAACTTATAAGACTGTACCGTGAGTTCGTAGCGGTAATGGTTCTCATATACACTATTCTTTAAGCCGAAAATAGATAAATGAGATTTACGTTTAAAGTTTAACAATTTGTGATCAGAAATGGTGATCGCTAGAATAATTCTGATTGCTATTGAGATATATATACCGTCAATCCTCGTATATAATCATCGACTTAAATCTCATTAGTCAATAACGGAATTAAACAAGTCAAATACGTGAACGAATTTCGAATTCGGATATTCCATCCAATATTTGATCCAGACAAAATATCGGAGAAGCAAAGAGAAGAAAACAAAGTGAAATAACGCAGTCAAGGTTGACAAATGAATAATTAACAAGGTCAAAATGTGACTCAATTAGAATGAATAAATTGCCTCCTGATTCACAGTTGTACTAGATATATATGAGACTCGGACACCAGTGAGTTAATATTAATTTCCCCCGAAATTCGACAACTGCCCTTGTGAATATAAAGACGAGTTGCAAGGGATAATGCCGTGCATCTATTGTTGAATGAGGGATCTTCTGAAGCGCTTTTCAGTCGTAGTGGCATTGAGCCTTGACTACACAATCCTCAAAGCTGAACACGGGACAATTGGGGAAATAGATATTCAATATTCAACGCGGAGAAAACCCAACGATGGAGAAGGCAAGAACAATTAATTGAATTAGTTCGATTTGATCGGATGGCATGGCTTGGCCTTGCGAACGTGGTCCCTGTTGAATGCTACCACATGTCTTTCATTCATATTCAATACATTGTTCTATCTCTAGCCTAAGCTTGTTCTCCATCATGTATTGGTGATTGTCACGATGCAACAAGATGATGTATACGATGATAAGACTTCCACATAAAATCTTATAAATGAAGCAGTTATATCATTACAAACCTAACATTTTAGGATTAGGTCTATTATTAGAGCACTACTAATATCATAGTAGGCCATAATTCTACAAAGTCACCTGACACCATAACACGGGTTTTAAGTCAGACATAAATAGGTGGTCAAGAACCCTGAGATGAAATTAATGATTTTAATTGCTGTCCTTTGGAATTAATTAAGCAGCGGCAAACACTCAATTATCTTTTGAGGTAACTATGGTTGATATGATCGTTCGATCGTCCTACACTGAAATCATCCCACAAGGGAAATACCTTACATGTACTGAAATCGCATCATAAAAAATTTTTCCCAGACAATAATAATCTGAAAATCACATCTAAATAATAATATAACTACAGGTCGATTATGAACTGGAAGTAAGAGGATTAATCATAATCAAAGTAATTATTCGACACGCAATATATAAAAAATGGAAGGGTCTATCAGAAAATTTTGATGAACGGACGGTAGTATTGTAGATAACCTTTACATACCAGATAAGTAATATTTAATATATATACATGACTGTCTAGGACTAGATTTTCTTCAATAGGAGGGAGGGTGGCGTTACTGACCAGCAAACATGAAGGTGGGGAGATAACTTCAATCCACCCATGTCTGTAGGGCAGAACATTTTGTTTAATTACGGCTCCTTATCGTTTAGTGGGATGCCACGAACTTATGGTGTTGAAGCTGATCTATTCACGCAAAATACCTCTTTAAGTCGTGTTACGAACGTTGAATTGGTTTCACTTCCTACCCAGAAATCCTATTACAAGCAAACTAGACAATTCGCTAATATACGAAGCTTACTCAAGACCCTATAATAACTGGGGAAAAAATATTTTTAAAAAAAAACGAAAGGGGCTCTAATAGCTTCGATATTAAAGGGAAGACAGCCAAATGTATATCACAATACTGTTTCTAGCACTATATTTTATAATCACACATAATCTTATACTCTCAGCTCTTTTGCGAATCGCCTCCGTTTGTCAAATGTATGTCCACTCACACCTTGTTAACACTTATTTTCCTTAACCTATCAATATGCTCTTTCTTAACATATACCTTAATAAAGGAAAATTAGACTGAGTAATCATACCTTAAACATTCCTTCATGAATATTGGCTACTCTGCCTCTCGTGTTTTCTTTTACTTGCTCCCTCTTTCAGCCCCCTTGAGATATGGAACTGGTGACTTCTTCCTGCACCATCCTTAAAGCCTTGGATATACCAAAAGGACATAGGGTTGCGATTTCTAAAAGCTCATACCTTCAATGGACCTATCCTTGACCATCAGTCGCACATTCGCAGCGCAACTTTCATGAAGCGCGCCAACTTTGGTACTGATTAGAACCATCGACATTCATATCTTATAAATTATCAACCCAGCTATGTAATTTATTACAGTGTATATTGTATCATTTGTATCAATTTGATCTTGCCTGTAAACTGGCATGCCTCATGTAACAATCTGTTATTTGAGAATAAATTATTATTATTATTATTATCCTGTTTTTAGTGTAGCATCATTTCCACCCGTCACTGAATTATTTCGTATGTTCTATATCTAAACAAATCATCATAACTCCATCAGTCTCTTCTAGGAGGTGGTTGACATTACATCCATAGGTAGTCGTTTAGGTGCTAAAGAATAACTTATTTGACGGATAATGACATTGTGACTAGTAGTTATCAACTTCCTTATATATGTATGCTTTCCTTAATTCTCCTTATGGAAGCTGGAATGTTTGTTTGGTCAAAAAGGACAAGCCAGAGTTCAATTCGCTCTCCATGTTGAGTAGTAAACAGTAAAACCGAACTATTAAACCCCGTATTCAATCTTTATCATTCAACTTACGTGAGAGAAATCAGCTTTAACAAGCCAATAATCGATTTGCAAATTATTTTATGCCAATTGCTCACATATCAAAATAGTTTGTCACCCACCGACAGTGAAACAAATTATCTTGGTAAGAAACAACTGCACACTGATCTCTACAACGGATTTAAAGTGTTGTGAACAATAATTTTTTTTAGTTTGCACTGAAATTTGATATTTCACTACGCATACGTCCATTTCTATTAAAACTCGTCATGTTATATATCTTACGTGGTGTTACGTATATGCTTGGTAAAGAGTACAGGAGGGTAATTTCAAGTTGAGGTACGAATGTTGTTTTGTATTACAATAATTTCGGAGTTAGTTGTGCAGCTGTAGCTATGGGACAATAATTTTTGATACGAATGTAAAGAAATTCGGGACCCTAGAGGCAATTGTTAGGAGATCGAAAACACAGTTTTCTACTCGAGATACTTGGTCGTAACACACGTTCAAAACAACGTCATTACTAGCCATTAGATTTGGTGAAGAGGTAAGACTATAACTTATGAACAAACTAGTCAAGTATTTGATTGAAATTAATTCGCATTTATGGTTATGAAGCATTATTAAATCATATGTAATATCAGT